AAATATTTTAATAGAAAGACTTGTTTCATCATATTCCAAGAGTTAATTGATTTCATAGGAAGAATATAACCAATCCTTTGCATCCATATCAAATGAGAATGGTAATACACATAATTTAATTTATTTTTTCGATACTTCGTGGTCTCATGGTTGAGCATACCATACAAAATTATATCATATGTTTGTGTAGGTCTTCTTTAGCAAGAACATGAAATTTAAGTAGTAAATGTATAAACCTTGGCTTAACTCAAAAGCCAAATCCAAGTTTAGAAACTCTATACACAACGATTGCTAATTAAGATCGGGAGTAGCCGAACTTCTTTAAGGTTTTGTTTACGAGCATTACTTCCCTTTCAGAATCACTCAATGATAAAAAGTCAAGAATGGTACTTATACTCGATGAAGCAACAATTCGTTTCTTGAATGTTTTAATCTACTCTATTGAAGCTTATCTAGCTTCGCTCCTTAACTTGTAAAATGTTCTTTACGGTTCGGGATTAAAGATTGGGTCACTTGTATGAGATGTATTCATACACTAACATGATATAAACAATAAGAAACGATCGAATGTCAAGAAATAATCAATTTAAATGCAATCTTCCTCAATAACGATGCCAAAATTTAATAGCATGTCACTTCACTCATAAATTTATATATTTTTTTCTCTTTACTTGACCCGAGTTACAAAATTCCAGTTAAGGCAAGTCGGGGTCAATCCTATAGATTAATGGTTTAAACAATATCCTTATTCTTCTAATTGTTTCAAAGTAAATTAAAGGAAAAGTAGTTTTGGTTTATTAAGAATAATAATGATAAATTAAATTAAATTAAGAAATGATAATAATAATGAAAGCCTTGGTTGATGGTAGGTTTCTACTTTTGGTTGATTCATTGATCATAGACTCATACATTAATCCATTCTTGTTATGAATATCCATTATAAGACAAATGTTAGTGTAGATGCCTAAGATCCAACCCTTTTGGATGGGTTTGACTTATTATGTTATTGTATTATTTATATTGATAATTATAAAAGAATTTTTTCTATTAATTTTTATCACTTGCATTTATTCATTGTATAGAATTAGATAGAAGTCCATACGATATGTATTTGCATTAGTGATTGATCGAAAGATATGAGATAAACACTAATGCACATAAATGATATCGTTAAATGTCCCAAGTCATAGCATGGTCAAGAATGGACATTGACTATATACAATTATACTTGTAAGTGTTATGCTCATGTCATATGATAGTAGTAAGAGATCTCACACCTATTAACATGATGATGCCAAAGTAAGCACTTAGGTGATTTATATTAGAGAATATATCACTGGACTTTACTTGTCATGAGAACCCATTTGGTTTAGTCTATGAGAATCTCATACGAGATGGATACAACTAATGCATAGACTTGAGGTAATCTTGGTTATCTTGTTAAAGGATTTATATACTTTGACACTCTTTTTGATGAATCCAATAAAGGCTTGCATGTAGGCGATTTGTTTGGTACATTAGGAATCTAATGGAGGTAGGTGAATGACTAATATAGTACATGTCATTCTTTTTATACTAAAGAAGTTATCACACTGCACCTCAATGAATATCTACTCAAAAAATCTATGATCACGGTAGGAGTGCATCAATAAAAGCTTGCACGTAGCCGATTTGTTTGGTACACTAGGAATCTAATGGAGGTAGGTGAATGACTAATATAGTACATGACCATAGTAGGAGTGAATCGAAGAAAACTTATGTAATCGTAATCGAACTAGACTCATAACCAAGTTCGATATCACACTCGTGATAAGTTGACATGAGAACTGAATTGTATGATGATCATGCTTATGAAAGGTAATAACGAATTAATTAATCCTCTTAGAGAATTAGATAGTCATGATGCCTTACTAGAGGTAAATCTTGATTTATGTATCAAGAGATAAAAGATGTATCATTTGTTCTTAATACATTACTAACATATCTAGAAGTCTATTGAGTCACACGCATAAGTTTAAGCATTCACATGATTAAAGAGAAGCATAAATATTGGAAAAAGTTTTCAATTTTGGAAAGGGTTTTTGAAAATGAAAAGTTTCTTAAAATGTAAAGTTTCCCAATTTGGATGTTTTCTAAAATGAAAATTTTTCTATTTTAAAAAATAATTTTCCTAATTTGGAAATTAGTTCCAAATTTAGAAGTGAATCACCTAAAATGGAAATAAGTTTTCTAATTTAGGTTAAAGGGTATTTAGAAAATTATTTCTTAATATGGGCCACCTAAAATTATCTAAGTTTATTTATTTGGATAATCCAAATTAATTAATTAGGCTAAAATGATTTTGAGTCAATAGATTTAATTAAAAGCGTAAAAGATAAATTTGGTGGGACAATAAACATGAATCTTATTGGATAAGGATGAATGTTTTAAAGATAAAGATTAAAAGCCCACAGGCTAAAACAACTCCTAATCTTAGGAAGCAATAATTAAGAGTCTAATAAGGATTAGTTGCTACCCCTCTCCTTATCGTCCGAGGATAAAGAAACTCTCCTCCTATAAATAGGAAGAGAGGTGCGGTAAAGAGACAACTTTCATGAGAGAGAATTCGACAAAAGTCAAAAAGGATTAGGGCATACGACCAATAAGAAAAAAAAAGGTAAAATAGTTTTCTCCCAAAAACCCTAGCATGCCACCTTCTCTCCCTCTTTCTTGGGTTGTCATAAAATTATCCAAATTAGATTTCTATAGAAAACAATAAATAAATCAAAAAAGATGGAGTTGGTACTTTACCAATTTTAAATACTTCTTTGTGTTTGCTTGGATTGTGTGGATAATCAATAGAGGTTGGACGCTTGGACTACTTCTTTATTTATTAAAGAATTTAGATTTGCGTTACAAGAGGTAAATTCTCAATTCATCACTTTAATTCATGAATATATGATTAGTTGATTCAGCATGATCTTAGGCCCTTAAATGGAGAATTTTTTTTTATTCCGTACCTCCATAGGATGCATAATCCTTTAACAACAATATATATGTTATCTCCAATCTTTTTTTAGTAATTTGTTAACCAAATAGATGTTATTTAATTAATCCCTAACTATTGAACAACCTTATAGGCACTACTTAAATTTAATCTAATAGCGAGTATTAAATGATAGAAAGATAGGTGGAGCTAAAAAATCCTTCTAGACACTAGAAGAATTTAATTTAATTTTATGTTTTCTAAAGGATTAAATGAAAAACTCATTTATAATCATTAACCCCGAGTTGCTACTAGAAGTAAGTTTAGACAAGCAATGACGAGACTTGAATACGTAGCTAGCAATAGATTATAATGATTAACTAACTAGCATGCACTCTAATTAATAAACCATATAATCATATTCAAATAATATAGAAAAACATAAAATACTTAAAAGAATAAGATTAGAGATAAAACCCCATTTAAATCTCACAACAAGTTACACCAAAAGCTTCAACTTTCCCCTAAACCAAGAAAGATTCTTCGTGATGCGTAGTTTGCTTACAAGAGAGAATTTTTCTATCTATAGTGGCTAATAAGAATGGGAGAATCCTTTGAATGAATCCTAAATTCTCTATTTATAAGACAAAGTAGGGTTATGACATACATGTGATAGCTCAATATGGACACACGACTTGTTTGGAAAAAGGCACATGGCTTGCTCTTTTGTTTCACATGGTTTGAAGCCATAGAGAGTCGGTGGCACACGACTTGCTGGAATGAGACACATAGTCGTGATTAATTTGTTCTTCATCCCATGTCTTTTAGTTTATGTCCGTGTGTCGTTTCCTTCTCATTAGGAGATAACTCGACCTTTACTCTTAAACCGACATGTCATTTTTCTTGCTCAAGCTATGTAGATTGTTACTCGCCCGTGTGTCTTCTTTACCGAGCATCCATATAATTTCCTTTTTCGTTTCACCCAACCAGTAGCTTTTTCCTCTTATAGGTCATACTCGTCGTGTGATTTCTTTGCTTCCTTAGCGAGCTTTGGCTTCTTATGCATTTTGGTTTGAGTCTATTCACTCCGATTTGATATTTTTCCTACAAAAACGCAAAATCTTTAGCTTGTTCTTATTTAGCTTAATATAATATAATAAGAATTAGTAAGTTTAATGCACCTATCGGTGGTCCGACTTGGTCTTTAGCCATGTTTATTGTTGATGAATTTTTTCTTTTGGTCTATTCACTTCGATTTGTTATTTAACCAACAAAAATATTTGTTCTTATTTAGCTTAATATAATATAATAAGCACTATTAAGTTTAACGTACCTATCGTTGATCCGACTTGGTATTTGGCCAAGTTTATTGTTGCTGAATTTTTGTGTTTACTTGTTATTGTTTTGGTCCACTTTTATCTAGTAATTGAGAGTCTATAGGAGTCAAAGAATAGATTTCGGTATTGTATAGTTTTATCGGTTAGAATTTACGGGAAGTGGTTATGTGTTTATCATGTAAATACCTATTTAAAGGCTGCAAAATTTAGTGTTGGGTATGTGTTATGCCATATTCAATATTCTATCTTCAATAAAATTGTTCTTCAAAGTCAATTCTTTTAATGAAAAAGACATATAAAGAGTTTGGTTTTGGGATAGAGGGAGAAAAGAACATGTAAGGGGCTTGGACTAATTGAAAAATGTAGAGGTAGGGGACGATGAATAGTCTCTTACGTAAAAAAGAAAAAAAAAATATATATATATATATATATATATATATATATATATATATATATATATATATATATATATATATATATATATATATATATTAATCCTTTTATTTTAGCACCTTCTCTATTTCAGCTTCTTATTGTTTCATTTTTCATTAACTATACCTATGTGTCATTCAAATTCTCTCCCTCTGTTTTTTTTTTTTCAATTTTTGTTCCTTTTCTTTTAATTTTTTTTTCAATTACACCCTAATTAATCTCATCTCGCATCCCTCTCTTTCTTTTCAATTTCAATCAATTACATTCTAATCAATTAAATGCTTTTTTCTTTGTAATAGTTTCACCTCCTCCCAATTTTCAACCACTCCTTCGTCTTCTTCTTCTTCTTCTTTTTGGATTGCCCTTTCTTTTCCTTTTTTTTTTTTAAACACAAATAAATTAATTAAAATTAATATTACCATGCTAAAAAATGTGAAATTATGCCAAAATTGAAGAATTAACCACACGCCACTTTTAATTAATATGATTTTTTAAAGTTAGAAAAAATACCCATCATATAATAAATTGTGAGAATTTATAAAAATACCTAAAAATCTTACAAAAATCAGAAAGCTATGCAAACATTCAATTTTTTTTGAAAATTTTAGAATTTTTATATAAAATAATAATGTATAGGAGGCCAAAAATAGGTTATGGCAATTATCATGGTGGTATACGACAAGCTTGCTTGATTGAGCACTCATAAAGCCAGTAAGACAAAAAGTAAATACAATAATTAAAAACAGAAAAAGAAAAGGTACAGTTGGATCAAAGTTTATCTTGGGCCAAATTGAGTTCTTGGTCGATTGCAGTTTTGTTTTAAATAAAGTTTGGGCTTTGGTACAGGTCTTTTTGGGTCCATTTAAATATTGCTGCTCGTTCCCACCACACCCATAAAACTGATGGAACCGCGGAAATAATAGACCATTTTTGTTAAATGATTTTATGATGGAAAAAAGACGAACGAGAGTTTATTAGGGACAAAAGTGTCCAAATAAAAGTATTAGTCTTGATGCATAAATTAATCTGAGCTGAACATTTTTTTTTATCTTTGAATAAAAAAATATAATCATGTTTTATGAAAAATTTCACCTTATTGTTGTCTCTTCTACAAATATTCCCAATATTCAAATTCACATAATTTTTTTTTTATATAAATAAACATTAATGGTTACAAGAAATTTTATAATACATGAGTAACTAGTGACATATACAGTAGTTACTTCATATGTCCATTTTGAGAAGAGAGATATATATACAAAAAAAGAGAGAGACAAACATGAGAGAGAAAATAAAAAAATTTAAGCGGATGTGGAAATATTCTTATCACTTTTGATAGATATAGATATAATTTCTATCTTTTTTATGTGTCTATCTCTCTCATCAAAATGGATCCATAGAATAACTACTATACATGTTATTAATTACTCTTGGTGTATTATAAAATTTCTCGTTTAGTTACGGGTTTCTCTAAAATTTCTTTTATAGAGGAGAAATAAGTTTTTTCCATGAATACTAATTGAAAATGAATCTAGGTTTTGTTTCTATTTTTATTTGACAGAGGAAAAATAAGATTTTCTCAAAGACAACGATGGTTTACTTTATTTTTAGGTGCCACTGCTTCTTGATATTTTATAATCAATCATGACATGGCGCCTTTTCTTTTTACTTTCTTCCGAACTATTTAGCAAAGGAAAGGAGAAACAGAAATGCACCTTTTTTTAAAAAAAAACGCTTTTGGACGTGCATTATCTTGATTCCAAATTAGGTTGGGTAAATCATATTTTAGTCTTTGCTTTATATTCTATAATGAAAAATTATTGGATAGAGCAAAAGCTGTAATTTCTTATATGAAATATTCTACTTTGGCTTTTTAAAATTTAAAATTTTAACACTAATTTTGTAGTTTTGGAAAAAAACTCAGTTTGATTCTTCTTCGTTAAGGTAACTAACAGTACCTCGTGGAAAGTCTAGATGCCTTTCATTTTTCTTTCACTTTTTTTTTTAATGGTTTTCTCTCATCTTTTTCCTCAAGATATTTTTAAAATAAAATAAAAAAAATATGAATACATTGATGAAAAATAAGATATTTTAAAATGTAATAATATTAAATTAACTATAATCAGCACAGTTAAAAAACTAATTAATTGGTTTCTGAAATAAAAAGAATTATATAATTCGGAATAATTCGGAATTTTTAATGTGCCAATAGAGTTAAAACGTAGCTTACTTTGTTCCAAAAAAGAATTTGCAGTTTGCCTGCAGAAGTTCAAAAGTTACACTCGTTCCAGCCCACAGATCGGCTCATGTGGCCCAACTCTTGGTGGCTCGGACCGTGACCAACTAACCAACGCTAGTTTTATTTTTATTTTTTTGACTTTTTACGTTTGCCTATTCTTTTCTTTCCATTATATATATATATATATATATTCTTTAAAAAAAATCAATAAAAATTCAAATGAAAATTAGATTCAATACTCTCCTTAAATATGATTTCATCAACTTACTAAAGGATTTTCTCACAATATATAAGTTTTTGTTTTAAAAAACATTAAACAAAAAATGTGAATATAACTATTTTTTACAACTGATCTATATTTGAAAGATAATAAACATTAACAATATAAAAAATTATAGCTATAATAAAATAAAATAAAAAACTAAACCACATGGTTTTAGTGTATTACTAATAGCACCAAGAGTAAAAATATTGAAAAGAATGAGATTTTTATTGAGTAAAAATATTGAAAAGAATTAGATTTTTATTGTGTTTTAAGTTTTTATTGATAACTTTAGTCCTAATATTTACGTAAATATTAGAAAGCAAAAATTATAATTAGACTATAAAATTAAAAGATACTAAAGTGCTCATAATATTGCAAAATAAATAAAAATTATTAAAATGAGATATATCATAAAATTGAAATAATTTTTTAAATACTTAAAAATAGTATAGTATATGATCATTACTAATTCTCCATTATATACCATTATATATAAAAAAAAACATATTCATGATAGGTAAATAAACTCAAAAAATCAAAACCTTAAAAATTGCTATTTACCAGCTTTCATTGTTTTTGTTGGTGATTGATTTGTGATAAAATATTTATAGAACACTAAACATACAATTTGCTTGTTTATTATACTAAAACATCCAAAGCCATTGCATAAGAAGTTGAGATTTAAATTACCTCTATCCGCTCGAATAAAATAACAATTTTGCATGATTTCCAAACAAGGAATTGAAAATAAGGAATAGTTTGTTTGTTTTTTTTTTTTTTTAATTTATTTCAAAGCATTATTCCCACATGAATTAATTCTCGGCAAATAAATAAATAAAAGAAGCCGAGTGAGCCGTTTTATGGAAAAAGGTGGAGCCGTTGTTGATAGAAAGAAAGAAAGAAAGAAAGCAGGGAGTTGAACCGTAACCGCTCCCTCTCACAGTTGCGTAACCAACCCCTCGCCCACTCCTCCGCTCCCCTCCCTCTCATATTCCTTCAAAGTTCAAACGCAGTAGTCTCTCTTTCTTTCAAAATCCTCTCTAGTTTCAGCAGTACTGCTTTAGATCACCAATCAACCAACAAATTCAACGTGTTCTTACTTTCTTTTTTCTACAGTTTCGAAGCCTCCATTTTGTTAGTTTTTTTATATGCTTTTTTGGATCTGCATTTTCTCTTAAAATCAGTGGTAAGTTTCTACTTGTCTTGGAATTTAGTAGTAACTTGTGCATTTTTGTGATCGTTTGATTTTGACAACGATCGTTCTGGTTAATTTTGAATTTTAAACCTTATGTATGTAGTTTTTTTTTTTTTTTTTTTTTGGTGGTTTTAGTTACTATTTTAGAGTCATGATGACTACAGAGCTTCTGGAAATTCAGCCTCGTGAACTCATGATTACATGTAAGTATCTATTAGTAGAATTATTATTTCGGACTCTGACAAAATTTCCCTTTCTTCTCGCTTAAGTTTTCCTTCATTTTTGTTTGTTTGGTGATGACAAGAAACTATCAAATTTCGTTTTATGTGTTTAAAACAGACATTTTTTTTTTTTTAGTTTTTTTATATTGATAGTTCCATAAGTAAGAGAAAATTTATTATTGTCTTCTGTTTGTTGAAACTGAAAACACAAAATAGAGGGCATATAGTTTGTAATTTGCAAATGTGAATTATTCGAAAACAACAAATGCGAATTTGCAAGATATGGGTCAACAACATATTTGCTCACAATTTAATTTCCACTTGCGGCTTACATTTTTTACCTCAGGCAAGTTTTTTTTTTCCTTATGTTTTAATTTAATTATCATTTTCTTTTTTAAGTGTCGATTTTTTAACTTTGCGCATTGTTGTTGTTATGCTGGAAAATTTGTTTCGTAGAGATTAAATTCTGTTTTAAATTGCAATGTCATGGTGTCTCTCTTTCTCTCTATAGTCGAGGTGAAGAAACAAAGCTCGTGCTCAATTCAACTGGGCAATAAGTCTGATCAGTATGTTGCTTTCAAGGTGAGCTTGTTTTATTGCTTCAATTTTGCACTTTTTTTTTTCCTTGGGGGATTACGTTTTTTGATCTAATTATACTTTCTATAATCATGGGAGTGATAGTGTACCTGCAATGGAATTGCAATACAAATGCTAATATTTATTGAAATGAGATCAAAGTAAAGAAGTTTGGTTTCTGAAAACAATATTTGTATGTCTAAATAATTTTAAAATCTATTTTCAGGTGAAGACAACATCCCCAAAAAAGTACTGCGTGCGGCCTAACACTGGTGTTATCAAGCCAAAGGCAGCTTGTGATTTCACAGGTGTTTCCCATCTTCCTATGATCTACTTATAAGCAAGTGAATTTGTCTTAAACATGAGTTTGTGACATACTTCCTTTCTGAAAAAATTGACAAAAAACCTGATGATGGATGTGGCCTATTCTATACTCAATTTTTCAGATGACACAATGATCTAAGTGCAATTTAATTAGGGGAATTAATAAATGCTGTTATTCTGAATCATAAAAAAAGCTGCTACGTTTGGAGACAGGTAAATTTTTAAGATTGACTAGCATGAAAATTATAATTTTTTTGATCAAATGAAATATGAAAATGAAATTCTGATCAATCAAATTTTAAACAGGGCTGGACTAATAAATGGAAGTAGTGAAGTTACTTCCTGTCTTCTATTATGAGAATCTGTAATAGATGATTTTTTCTTCACTTTCTGGTCATTTCAGTCACTATGCAAGCTCAGAAGGTGGATCCACCTGATTTGCAGTGCAAAGACAAGTTCCTGGTTCAAAGTACAGTTGTTCCCTTTGGGACAACTGAAGAGGACATTACATCTGACATAGTAAGACTTTGTTTTGTTCTGTTTCCTCTGTAAGAAGTTGCAGCTCTCTTTTTTTTTAAATTCTCTCTTTAGTTTCTTATTACTTGTTTGGCAGTTTTCTAAAGAGAGTGGGAATTACATTGAAGAGAAGAAGCTAAAGGTGGTTCTCATTAGCCCCCAAATTCACCAGTTTTGCTTCCAAGCAACGGAGAACTGAAGAAAGATCCTTGTTATGACATTTCATTCGTCAGAGATATAGAAAAGGATGATATTGAAAACATCCCTCGACCTTATGGGGTAAGAGTTATATTATATTGTTGTCAAATGTATTCTCGACAAAGACTTGCTTCCTCTCCCACCTCTCTCTCTCTAACTCTCCCCTCTCTCTTTCTCTCCTGCTATGTTTTGAGCTTACTTGACGCAATATCAGCTTTTAGGAACATTCTTGTGTGTGTTTGCTATACAACTTTATAAATGTCTCGGCATTTTGGTGTACTTTCCTAGTAAGCATTTTTCATAATTAGATTTGTAGGAGTTTGTAGATATGTTTCAATAGGTGAAAAGGGTAGGTATTCAAACTCACTCCTTGATCTTATGCAGTGACAAATGTAAATAAAAATGTAAAAGTTGGCCGAACATATGAATAGTTAAGAGAAATTTTAAGGAAATGTTTTAACATTTTAAAATTCTGACACATCAGCACTATTATTGGATATCCTGTTTCAGTTGGCTCAAGAAGATGTAGTCTTTGAAACTGCCAAGGATGCTGATGAGTTAGGAGCGGCCAAGGATTCTGTTGATTCAATACCTGCTGATACAGGGGAATTGAATTCTTCTAAGGATACAGCTGAACCAAAGTTGATGAAGGATTTTGAGGAGTTGAAGTCAAAGCTACATGCAATGGATTTAAAGCTAAAAGAGGTCTGTTCTCCTCTAGTTTCAGTTTGTTGCCACTATGACCTTAAGTTCAGCCTTAATTTTACTTGTATCCATGTCTTCATGGGACCTGTCCCCATTGTTGTTTCATATACTGCCATTTATCATATAATAATAATTTTGGATAAGAGCATTGAATTCCTTGAGTCATGTTTTATCTTTGAAAGGAGAATAGTGAGCTTTAATTTTGAAGAGAGACTTTTCTAAAATGCTACATGACACTTTTTATCCATTTCATTATTATCTGTTTTTGCAGGCTGATCGTGCCATCATGAAGTTGACTGAGGAGAATAGGATGGCCACTAAAGAGAAGAATAAGCTCAAGCATGAAGCAGTAAGTCATTTATTTTTTCGGCATATTTTTTATCATTGAGGCTAATAACTCCAATTAAACCTTGAATGTTTTCTGCCGTCACTGCTTGGTGGTCTGCAAAGAGGAGGGTAATAGGTTTAGACAACTGGCAAGAGATGGCTGTAAGAGGAATTATTAGCAAGTACAAATCTTAAAGTCTTGCAATGGTGGTTTTTTTTTCATATATATGTAGCATTATTAAAATCATATTTCCCCTGACTTGCACGATACTGGTTATATTCCTATGCATATGAATAAGTCCATGCCCCCTGACACCACGAACATCAGCCGACCTGACCATTTCTATGTAGAAGGACCTTCAGTTCTTCTGCTGTCTTTTCATTTTAAAGCGCCTCTTCACTTTGTTACCACCTGATTTAAAGGCCATGCAAAAATTTGGACAGAGTTATCAAAGAGCCAAGCGCTCTCCGCTTCAGAACTCCAGCCCCTTTTCTATATGACACCATGAACATTAGCCTTTCTATGGTGAAGTACCTTCACTTCCTCTGCTGTCTTTTCATTTTAAACTGCCTCTTCACAATGTTACCACCTGATTTAAAAGGCCATGCAAAAATTTGGACATAGAGTCATAAAAGAGCCAAGCTCTCTCAGAACTCCAGCCCCTTTTGTATATAATTATGTCATTCCTGAACATGTCAGCATCAAGCATTGTTTGTATCGTTGCTGCTAAGCTACCCTGTCAGCGCTTGCCCACTAAAGTGTGACTTGTAACTGTTACATTAGGCTGTGATCAAGTTATTGATAGCTCTTGGGTATTGATGTTGCCTTTTTCCTATTTGTAGGAAGTGTTGAGGAAGAACAATACGAGAAGAATTCAAGTGGGTTTCCCCTCTTATATGTATGTTTGGTTGCTTTGATCGGTCTGGCACTTGGATACCTTATTCATCCATAGCAGAAACCGTTTTATGGCTTAGAATGGTTGGGGGATTGTCCGAGGTGATCAAATATAGGAGGGTTTGATTGCCACACCATAGGTGTTTTACCGCATGTGATATATGATATAGAAAGTCTTGAATGTGTAGGTGTAAAGAACTCTTATCACTGCAGAAATACCTGCGTTTGCGCGTGTGTGTGTATATACACATGACATGTTTTCTCTCCGAAGAAATTTGTTTCCGCTGCATTCTGCAATGCCCTTTTCTCTTTCTGTGCAGAAGACTCGAGGTGTTCTAGTTGATACATGCCAAAATTGTTGGTTTGTCAGCTAAGATTGAGAGGGGTGGGGTGGGTGGGGGTTGGTCTGTTGATTTTTTGAACCGCAGAAATGACTTCAATTCTATGCAGAGGAAATTCCTTCGGCAGCAAAAGATACAAAACATTTGGAGGCCATGACACCCAGCTAACATGACATTGAGGACCTCTCACTGCCACTGCAACCAATCGGCTAGCAAATTGCAGAGCTGTCAACATGTACGAAATCACAAAGACAACTCAATTCTGACATACCTCAACTAAATTCCTAATCTCTTGAATCAATGCTTCAGCTCCCCAAGCAGGCTCCTCATGAGAGTTTTCTAGTAAAGTGATTTCCATTGTGACCTTCCTACTCCTATTCCGTGTTTGTTTAGCTACCCCAACTGCTTCCTTTAAGGCATAAATCTCTCCAACCAATGCCGACTTGCAAACCACCTTGGATGTTGTTCCACAAACTACCCTGCCCTCAAAAGTCTCTGCCCAGTGCACTAATCCCAGTCTCCAAAGCTCTTTTTTAATGCATCAACTTTTTGAACATGGAGATTGTTGCAATCCCACAGCTCAGTACAAGCTCCGCATCCCTTCTCCACTGTGTGGCCAGGTAGGCTGTTTTCACCAAAAATAAAATCATTTCTGGCCTTCCAAATTTCCCATACAGTGACCGCTGCTATATTTTCTTGGATCAAGATATGAGGAATTCAGAGTTTTGTCTCTTTAGAATTTTCTTTAGTAATACACTAGTTGGTTGTATGCTGTACGTTATGTAAGCAGCAGTGCCATAATGTGGCAGCATGAGTTTTTCCAAGAAAATGTTGGAATTATTGGATGGTTCTTCAAAAACATAACATTAATTATCTTATTTAAAAAAAAATTGATTTTAAAATATCCACAATAAATAGTAAATGCTCAGTGATTTGTTTTTATGTAGATGTATAATTAATTTTTAACAAAATCAATAATTCGATATTTTTTTTGTGCATTACAAAGACTCTAAAAATGTGGGGGTGAAGTCGTTCAAGCACTCGTTCACCCTCACACAAAACACTCGTGGACGACACTATTCATACAATAGTATTTTCGTCCACCGTGTTTTCTTTAATTTTGCACCCTCCTTTGCTTTCCTAATTACAATGCTGCCACTCGCTATTATTCTCTCGCTTCCTTAACCTTCCGTTATAATCTTCTCCTCCTTCTCCGAGTCGACATCCGTTTTTTTTTTGAAAAAAATCACTAACCTATCAATCAAAACTCCCCGCTCCATATTCCGTAATAAAATCCCACACCATCAAACGGTGGGGAACCAAAACAATCACAATAAGAAGCAAGCAAGTGGCAAACACACTGAAAGGGGATCAGTCTTAATCAATTGAATTCATTAGAAAAAAAAAAAAAGAAATGCAATAGGAAACAAAAAAAAGAGGGAATCTACTCTAAAAATTAAAATCAAATTAAAAAAAATGAAAGAGAGTAATTTTTACCTAATTGTTGAAGCGGCAACCCCTCCCCATCATCATCATCAAGCCAAATTTCCCCCTCCACACTTACACACACATACATTTGTATTTATTTAATCGAATAGAGGGTTTGAATTTAGAAATTAAATTGGAATTTTTTAGAATTTAGGGTTCTTGATAGTTAGGGTTTTGGAATTTGAAGATTTTTGTTGTGAATTGAAATTGAGGTTGAATAATAGAAAGAAATGCTAATGGAACTTAATTGAAGTTTCAATTCAGGTGTTTAAACCATGAATTGAACCCGAATTAGAAGAAATTGAAACCTAGGGTTTCTAAGATCTTCAACATAAAAAAATATTAGGAGTTGTTAAAAATAATGACTCATTTAGATTTGAATTAGCTTGATCTCAAGAGAAATCAAGCCAATTAAGGCCATTTGCAACGAAAAATTGAAAAATCAAAAACTTAGGGTTCGGCCAAATTGGGAAAAAAAATTCAATTTGGAATTTTGATCTAATTGAAAGAGAGAGATTAATAGGGTGAGAGGGAAGAAGGATTGAGAGAGAAAGGAGGAAAGAACGACCGTAAATCTCTCGGTTTGTTTCTTCTATGGATTGGAAAGAAAAAGAGAAAAAGAAAGAGATGAGGCCGAGATAGAGGAATAAGAAGAAGAAAGATAAAAAAAAATAAAATAAAAATGAAGAAGAGAAAGAGGGACAAACCATTACTAGTTCGTCCATGGAAGGCAGAGAGAAAGGAAGAAGAAGGAAGGAAAAAGAAGTAAAAGAGAGAGAGGGAGAGAGAGCAATCGGATGAGGAAGAGGAAAAAAGAGAAAAAGAGAGTTTTGTTTGTGTTTTTGGGTTAGGCTAAGCCCAACTCGTGTGTGATTGGGCTAGGCCGATCCAGCTCCGTCCGAAAAAAAAAGGAAAGAAAAGAGTTGGGCTACATCGATTCCATACAAATTAAGGATTATTTTCTTTGACTTGTTTAGTAGATAAGTAAAAGAAAATAATCCTTAATTTGTATGGTGTAATTAATTTTTTTCAATCTTAGGAGTTTTTGATATATTTTAGCCAAAAAAAAAATTACAAAGAACCCTAAAAGAAAGAGGTGGGGTTTTTATTATTTTTAGACTATTCATGCGCTCACGACATTTTTGTTATTTTCAGCTTTTTTATGTATTTATTCTCACTTACATTATTGTTTACCCTCAACTACTAGTTTTGAGGTTTTCTTCGGACATTCTATACGTAAAGTTTTGCTATGTTGTTTTTTGATCCCTTGTTTTCTTAAGAATTTTTATTTCGATTTGCAACTTTATTTATATTGTAATCTGGTTATTAATTGCTAAGAGGAGAGAGAAACAAAGAGAGATGAGGGATGAGAGAGAAATAATCTTTATATGAATTTTTAATAATTTTTTAGAATATTGTTATTTACTCTTTTAAAAAATTTTAATATAATTTATATGATGAATTTTTTTATTCTATATATATATATATATATATATATATATATATATATATATATATATCAATTTGTTTTACAAAATAAGATTAAAAGTACTTTTTAAATAATTTGTCTTAGATTTTTTTGAAAAAAATTATAAGAAAAGTTTTTAGTTAAGAGTTCATGAATTTTAGAATTTTTATTACAAGTTATCAGTTAAGAATTTGAATATAAAAGAATAAATTGTGTTTTTTTAGCACAAAATTTATAAAAAAAACATAATAAATATTTTGCTAAACATAAAATTTTTTTAAAAATAATAGTTTTGTTTTTACCTTCTATTTATTATATTTTAGTAACCAATAATGTAATACATACCATCAAATTAAAATTATTTTTTAGAATAAAATTTTATAAGTTTTGTCCGAACCCACGATGTAACGCAAGTAAAGAACTAGTCATAACTATACTAAACAGCTTTAGAATCTATAACATAGAATGACATTTTAAAATAAAAAAAAAAACACTTTACTTGTAATGAATGTATTGAATAAATTTAAAGTTAATAGTAAAAAATAAAAACCATAGAAAAATTAATTTAAATTTTTTTTATTATATTAAAAGAACAAATAAAACAAGTGAATTTTATTTTTTTCTTTTTAAATATTTTTTCTGATCCTAAGCCAAACATGGCTAGTCCTCATTTATAGGCCTTGCATGTAAAGGAATTATTTATTCTACTTCTTTTTTCATTTGAATTTGAATTACTAATTAATTGTTTAATTTTTTTTTTCTAAAATTCTAAGATATGTTATCTAAAACACACTTGCGTAAGTCTCATTTAAAAACCATAACAATTCATCATATCAACTATATTATTTTATTTAAAAAAAGAATAACAATGATTAAAATTTTATTCTAAAATCTATACATGGAGAAAAATAAATCAAATTTGTCAGCAAATAATTTTATAAAAAAAATCAAAACTTAATTGGACAAGAATTCCATAAGAAATGACAAGTTGAAAGAATAAATTTTAATAATAAGAGTAATATATATATATATATATATATATATCTTGTCAAATTATGTGAAAAAAACCAAAAATTAATGATCGATCTTCCATTAAAAAAAAAAAAAAAGCAAGGCCTACGCGAGACCACCATTTAAAAAAAAAAACCAGATGACTAGTCATTGGCTCGTCATCGGATTGTATTATTGTATTTTTAATATTAATAAAAAAGTCTTTCTATTGATTCTTATTATTTATAATTTCCGAATTAGATAAAAGTCTATATGACATATATTGTATTAATAATTAATAAATAAATGTGGGACAAATATTAATGCATTTATATGTTATCATTAAATGTTCTAAGTCATAACTTTATCAAGAACGAGACATTAACAACATGCGGTAAAACTTATGAGCGCTATGCTCTTGTTATAAGATAGTAGTAGGAGATCTCATACCTATTAGCATGGTGATACCAAAGTAAGCACTCGAGTGAATAATGTTAAATAACATATCACTAGACATGACTCATCATGAGAACCTATTTGGTATTGTCTATAAAAATCTCATACAAGATAGGTACAAGTGGTCTATTGACTTACGAATCATCACGATTATCTCATTAGAGAATTGATATACTTTAACACTCATTTGATTGGCTTAGTAAAGAGCTCAATGTGAGCGATTCGTTCGGTGCATTAGGAATCTAATAGAGATAGATAAATGATCGAGATAGGACATGTCATTCTTTACATGCTAAAAAAGTTATCACATTACACTTCAATGTATGTCTACTCAAAGAATATATGATCGGGGTGGAAATATACTAATAGAGCATAATTGATTTACTTGTGAGCTAAGATATTTATAGATAAAAAAAACTTATGTGATCATAATCGAATAGATAATAAACCAAGTTTAAGATCATATTGTTATCCATTAACATGAGGACTTGATTATATTGAAATCATGCTCGTAGAAGGTAATTATAGATTAATTAATCCTTTTAAAGAATTGGGTAGTAATGATGACTTGTTAGAGGTCGGTATTAATTTATATATCAAAAGATAACAGAGGTGTCTTTTATCTTCTTGATACATTGTTAACATATCTAAGAGCCTATTAACTCATATAGATAAGTTTAAACATTCACACAATAAAAGAGAAGAAAAGGTTTTGAAAAAGTTTTCTATTTTTGAAAGTTTCTTATTTTGAAAAAGTTAGTTCCTAAAATGGAAATTAGTTTCCTATTTTAAAACTCATTTTCCTAATTTGGAAGACAATTCCAAATTTGTAAGTCGATTATCTAAAGAGAAGATCGGTTTCCAAATTTAGTTTAAGGGTAATTTTAAAAATTATTTTTTAATATGGGCTCAACTAAAATACTTGACTCAATTTATTTGGATGGTCCAAATTAATTGATAATTAATTAGAACAAAAGAGTTTGGGCTAATAGGTTTAATTTAAAAGCCTACAAGGTGTTTTTATAAAGGGATAAACTTGAGCACTAAAGGATAAAGTTAAGGTTTATAAGGATAAGGTTAGTCAAAGCCCACATAAACAATAACTCCTTTCGTAAGAGGGAGTTGTTGTCACCCCTGTAAATAAAAAAAAAAAGTGAGAGATGTGTGGCACAAGACATCAAAAAAATAAGAAGAGCACTCTCTTCTTTAAGAAAAATTCAGCCACCCTCTCTCTCCAAGTAGGTTGGCGTAAAACCTTAATTGATTTTATAGAAATAAATTTACTATATAGAATAGTTGGAGCTAGCATACTATACTTTCTATTGCTTCTTGTGTGAGTGTTTAAATTGCATGGATTATCAATAGAAACTAGATAATTGGATGGTTTCTTTTCGTAAAGTTTAATTCCGCACCGCAAAAGGTAATTACTCATTATTATCTTATTTATGTTTACATGATTAATTGATTCGACGGCATGATCTAGGAAACTTTAAATGGAGAAAAACAAAATTTTTTGTTTATTTCGCACATTCATAAGATGCACAATCCTTCATGAGTTGCCACCTAGCTAATCGAAAAAACTAGAAAACCGTAAATATATTGGTCTATATAGGTACCTAAGAAAGAGATTGGTTACACATGAGAAAGATATAACATCATTACCATTCCATCCAACTCGAGATAGGTCGCATTATTTACATATGAAAATAAAAGTTTGATTTTATTGTGTTATGCTTCTATACCTACTTGAGTGGATAAATTTTGTCAAGATTAAATATTAGAATAATTTGGGATTTAGGCTAGTCCAAGGCCGGTATCCATACTCAAAAGGTAAATATGAAAAATATTAGAATTTCAACTAATCTTTAGTGAACACAAACCTATACCGGATGAAAAGGTGGGACTAGTTTGGTTAGGGTGGAGAGGGATGAGGTCGATGGTCGCTATTAGTAGGTTTGACCGGATGAAAAGGAGGAGAGGTCGGTGGTCGTCGCTAATGGGTTCGACTAGGTGAGTAGGAGGAAAGGTCGATGGTGGGGTCGCTTCGGGTCGGATGAGAGGATAAGAAGGTGATAACAGATCGCTTCTCGGGCTAGACGAGGAACGACCGGCTAGGCTGAAGGAGAGAGACAGGTCTCAAGCTATAAATGGTGGCGATCATGGGCTAGAGTCGGTGATGGTGGAGTAAGTGGAGGTTTAGGTTGATGATGGTAAAGGTCTCAATCGGCAATGTAAGCGAAATGGGAGATTTGCGGCTAGAGAAATTTTGGACGAGATAGATGAATAGTGCTTGGTATTAAAAAAAAAAAGATAGAAATGGTGGGTATTTATAGGGGAAATTAGGGCTTTTTAGGTAAAAGTTAATTTTGATCCATGATTCCTCCTAACTCATTAATTTAAGTATAATTTTGATGGTTTGAACTTCAATTGCACTCTTAGATTGTAATTAATCAAGACTTCTTTCTTTAGATTTCTTCCAATTGTACCTTTTTTTCTTTTATTTAAGGGTTTGACGTTTTAGGGTTTTTTAATTGTACCATCAATTGAGTTTCTCTCTATTTTCAAACTTCCCATTTCTTTTAATTAGATCCTTATAACTAATTTGAGCCACCTATTTTAATTAAATTATTTTCTCCTCTTTTTTTTATATTTGGTATTATTATTGTTGTTGTTGTTGTATTTTTTAACAAAATAAAATAATATAGGTGAAAATTTAGGTACTAATAGTGGTGGTGGTAGAAGAGAAGAAGAAAAATGAGGAAGAGCCAATGATAGTAATAATAGTATAGTAACAACAATAATTATTTTTAAAAATTTGACACCACCATCATAAGAGGAGACAATAGAAAAAGAGTGGTGATAATGATAGTATAATAAAAACACGAGTGATTGTGGAAGAAAAGTAGTGGTAGAGTAATAATAACAAAAACAAAAACAATAATATATATATATATATATCACTAATGTGGGTTGTAAAGGTGTGGGTACCGATGATGGTAGAAGTATTTAATATACAATAAACAAAAAATAATATAGCATTATTTTAAAGAGAGAAAAAAAATCTCATTTTCATTTTATTTTTTTTCCATCTCTTTTATAGGAATAAAACTATATTTAATTTTCATTTTCACTCTTTATTCTTATTTATACTTCATTCTTTTCAATCAAACACTTACAAAGTGAAAATAAAACTTTTGTTTTTATTCCCACCATTTCATTTTTTGTGAACAAACAACACCTAAAAAAATCACCGTTTTATTTTTCTTATACTAAATGCTAAACACTCGTTTATACTTATGTAGAAAGAGAATAAATAAAAAATTAATTATTAAATTACAATTAATTATTTTAATAAACTCATAATGACTAGTAATAATTACAATAATTATTAATAGTATTTAAATTTATTTATTAAAGGTGTTAGAAAAATTACACCTCATTATATATGTTTTATTATTATTACATAGATTAAATTTTCTCCAACCTAAAAATTAAACTAATAGTATATATTCAAGCCACTAAGTTTGTATTGAAACTTTTGTAAGAAAACACAAGATTAAAAAGTATTTTGACTTTAGTGTGTTATCCTTTTCTCTTTTTTTTCACTCTTTAATTGTCTAAACTTTTTAAGAAAGGTAAAAGAAATAAAAGTATGGTACTTGTAAAACTTTGACTTTCAAAATAGTCAAATAAAAGGTTTAATAGCATAAAACATCCTTCTATTATTGTTATTTTCTTAATATGATCCCTTTATTGTTTTTTCTTATTCATCACCTCCTTACAATCTTCAATTTTTCTTAACGTGGCCCCTTCAACTATTTTTCTACCATTTTTTTTTTTTTTATCAAAATGGACATTTGGGATAAAATAATCCACATGGCATAACACGAAATATTTTTTTTCATGTGGAAAAAAATGACTTTATTTTTTTCTCCTCCCTCTTCCCCTCTCTCTCCTCTATTTTTTCTTTGTGTTTAATTATAGGTAAGTCCAAAAATACCTTGATCACAGCCAAAATTACGGGTCATGATGATGCGGCCTCATCAATTTACAATGATATTCTACTATTAGTGAAACAAATATACTTGATATTTAGCTACTATGGAGTGCCATTATGATCAGCACCCTAAAATTACCCTTTGTAGTAGAGGACTAGGAAAGGAGGATATAAGCTAGCTAGGCAATTTAACAAGCACCTGAAGGAGGATCCTTCAAAACTGGAAATCTATGATAGAAGGAGGACAAATGAAGGTGCCTTTCACTGAATATATTTTTGTTGCATTTGTGAAGTTGTTTCGGAGTAGTGATACAATGGCATTCTTGTTGACATATTTGCTTGTGATCCTTTGCAATCGGAACAAAGGAGAGGACCCTTTGAGGATGGAACTGTTCGAAAAATTGCTACTCAGAATGGTATTGTTGTTGCTGCAATATATGTTTTGATTAATTCCAAGGCTAGAAATGCATCAGCGAGTGAAATTCTTGCACCAGAATGCATAAGTGCATGCAGATCAATCTGTAGAAGGAAATTTACTAGCTAGCTAGGAAATACCTCTTTTTGTCATGAGATGGGCGTCAACTTGGATGCCATACTTTTTCAAAATCTCAAGCTCTCTAAACTCAGCTAGAGGAGTAAGAGCTAATTTATCAAGAAATGATAAAACATATCAGATCATAAATAAAAGGAAAAACAGGAAGCAAAGGGATTGATTGATTGATTAATTACTTACGAGAACCAAACTTAGCCCAAAGTTTGTTATGAGACTCATCAAGAGAGTTTGGATTGATGTTGATGAGGTAAAGAGGGTCACTACTATCAACCAAGTTATCAAAGGCCCAGTTGAAAGCGTTCTTGCTTCTAGGCGAGAAGTCCATAGCAACACCAATATTTCTGTCTCCTGGCATTTTGATTCTCTTCTCTTCTCTGTCTTGATCTTGGACGCTTGGGTGTATGATCTTATGAGGGAAGGAAAAACAGACGTACACAAAAAGTTGTGTGAGAGTGCAAAAAAGAGAGAGAGAGGGAGAGACAGAGGAGAGAGAGAGACGGAGAGGGAGGTGAAAAAATAAAATTATTTTTTAAAATTATTTTCCACGTGCAAAAAAAATGATGTGTCATTCGATGTGAATTATTTATTTTTAGTTGTCAATTTTGATTGAAAAATTGATAAAAAATAATGAAAAAGATCACATTAAAAAAAATAAAAAATACAGAGAATTAATAAATAAGAAAAAAATAAAGAGATCACGTTACGAAAATGTCAACAATAAAAAGATGTTTTATGTTATTAAACCTCAAATAAAATGAAACAAATAAAAATTACAAAAGGGCCAATAGAAATAAAGTGGAGGAAGTATTTCATCCTCGGGTATGTTATTTTGTCAAGCTTTTTCATGCAAATAGACATAATTATATATATATATATATTATTCTAAAATATCCTAGATATACAAAGATATGATGAATACAATTTTTTTTTCAATGACAAGGATATCATCGAGTCAGATTATATATCAACCAATATTAAATTCCTTGAATAGAAATAGAAACAAAAGGACATTTTGGACACTAACTCAATTATATAATAAAGAAATAATGCTAGAGATAGTTTTTTTGTCCACTAAAATTTTTTACCATCATACAATTGGTATTTTATCAGCCATTCAATATCATAATTGCAATTATTTCATTAAATGTGATAAAATCTACTTTTTGTTGAAAAATAATGACAATGATAAAAAGGTTGTTATGGTAATAATAAAATAATTGAGAGAAAAGATGATAGAAAAATAATTTTATTATAAAAATAATTTTATCAGCCATTCAATATCATAATTGCAATTATTTCATTAAATGTGATAAAATCTACTTTTTGTTGAAAAATAATGACAATGATAAAATGTTGTTATGGTAATAATAAAAGAATTGAAAGAAAAGATAATAGAAAAATAATTTTACTATAAAATAAAGTGAACATAAATTATAGCAACTTGAAACAATTCTCTCAGTATTTACAAAAATATTTCAACACAAACTAATGAAAAATCAAATCTATTTATAGGTTTTAAGATTAATAAGAAAATTGAAAAGACTACGAACAATTAAAAAATATATAAATAATTAAATCAATTACATAACCCTTTCAATTTCTCATATTGAATAATAAATTGAATCACATTAAAAATTATGAGTAATGAGAATATAAAAAAAATATGAACAATCATATGGATATTTATTATTTCATAACGCATTTCATAATTTGAAATTCTTTCTTTTGTAATAGATGCGTGAAACTAAAACTTAGTAAAAAAAAATTAGTAGTTCTAGCATTACCCATAATAAAAATAGATTGAATTATTTATCTCATATATTTTACGGTAAGAAATTGTATAATATAACCATACTGAGTTAGCGTTGTTAATTTTATTGCAAATACTTGTGTTAGTTACTCTTTTCATACACAAGCAACCAACTTGTGTTAGTTATTCTTTTCATACAAACAAGCAAGGTTGGTCATTGTGTATTTCAAAACTCATTGAAACCTTTTGTTAAACAAAAAACAAAATAACTTTTTTTTCATGAAATTCACAATTTATCATTTATTTGTTGACATATAAATTAACATGAAATTTGAATTTGTTTAATCATGTAATTGTATTATATTCATTATGAAAATGAAACGTTTCATCTATTTAAAAACCCGAGATCTTGTAGCAAAGGTGATAAATCTCTTCCCAATTTGCTCTTAAGTTATATACAAGTTGATAGCATCTTGTTTTCTCTTGTTTTAAGTTTGTTCAAATATTCCAATCATTTTCTGTGAAACAAGCAAGGCTTAAAATGCAAAAACCAAAACGTATTGTTTATTAGTAGTTTCAACTGGAAAAAAGTTTAAGAATTAATCAGACGAATGATCTTTCTACTTTTAATATTATTTTAGTGTAGTTTTTTTTTTTTATCATGTTTTTTTACTCTCAATTTTTTTAAGTGCCATGGCATGTCAAATTAAATTACTATATAGGAGACAGAAAATACTTGACGTATTTTTATACCTACTTTTTTTTATTTTAATTTTCAATTAAGTTATTTATTTATTTATTTATTTTTATTTTTTTCACATGTCAAATTAACTTTGCGAGTTATGATAAGCGTCTCTTTTTAGCACATGTCACGTTTAATCGGATGGACTATATTAAAAAAATTTCCGGAGAAGAGTGACCTGATAAATATAAAAAAGAATAGAAGGACGGCGAGAAAACGTCAAGATAGAAGGACATTCATGCCATTAATCCAAAAATTTAAAAACGACCCAAAGGCAGACTGCAGAGACAATCAAATACCGCAATCGTATGCTCCTCCTTCCCATGCATCAAAGCTAGCGCCCCCACCACCAAAAAAAAAAAAATGGCAGCTTTAGTGATAAAATCCACAGTAAGCCAAATTACTGTTAAACCCTCACCGTCCGATCATATATCACCAAGAATCGAAATCAAATCAGCACTGATTCCTGTGAAACGGTGTCGCAGTAGCAAACTTCCAGTCTTGGCGGCTTCAATTCACGGTGGAAACGACCAATCAATCGAGGCGCAGAAGAAGAACAATAATGCCAACAACATTCAATCTAGTCTCTTGCAGGATGCTGAATACGACATCGCTTCGAAAAACTCCCATCCAAGTACGGAATTGCAAAACTTCCACGGTACCTAATTTTTTTTTTAGTTTTTTTTTTTTAATTGTTGATTTTTGTTTTAGGGCCATTATCATCAACTCATTCATCCAATTCAGTATCTAATGGGTCTCGCCTTCGCGTTGCTTACCAGGTAAAGTAGTATTTGTTTAATTTGATTGTTCTTTTTTTTTTTTTTTGGAAAATTTGTTTTATAATTGACTGAAATCTTTGAGATAATTAGAATTACCTTTTTATTCTTATAGGGAGTTCAGGGCGCCTACAGTGAGTCAGCAGCACAGAAGGCGTATCCGAATTGCGAGGCTGTCCCATGCGAGCAATTTGATACTGTTTTTGAAGTGAATTCTTTAACTTTATCTTTATTTTTTATTTAAGTTGGCAGATTAGTAATATAGATACCGATTTTACAAATTTATGCTACGAAAAGGTTTTTTTTTTTTTTTTTTTTTCCCCCTTATAGTTTTAGGAATGTTAGATTGGTTAGTTCGTAGTCCGCGGATAATGGATTGATGCTTTTGGTTGTTGGTTTTCACATTTTTAGGACTGCGTCATATTTTGTGACTAGGGAGCTATTTGATGCATGATAACTTTGGATTAGTGTCCCTCAAATGATTCGTTGTGAGATAGGTTTGGAGAATTAGGGATTTAGGAAGAAATTAGAGTTTCATGTACAATGAATATTAACTGATGTTACCATAGCAAGAAAGATATAGAAGAAATGAGAGCTTAGAGAAAGAGAAGAGAAGCACAGTCAAAGATACGACCCTCAAACAGAACCAAAATGCTAATACTTCTGTTATTCGTAGTCCCAAGTAGACTAGGCTTACAAGAAATCTCAAAATAAAAAATCAGATTAAAATAATTTACAAATTTCTCTTTGTTTGGCTGCATTACTAGTATGGCGTGGCGATCTATTCAACAGTTTTCATCAACAAGTCAAGGCTTTGATTTAGACAGGGCCCATAGTGTGTAACCACAGTTTAATAGATGATCAGGTAGAAGAGCTATTTTGGTTCTTAGAATATCAGGCAGAAGGTGCTTTAAAAGCCCAATTTTTTTATTTTTTTTTCACGAGTCTTTAACCTTTTCATGACAAATGTTATTTTCAAACATGTAAATGTCCACTAGGATCCTCTATGAGCTGTGATTTTTCATATCTTTTTTATTTATTTTCCTTGCAGTCAGTTGAAAGATGGCTTGTGGACAGAGCAGTGTTACCTATTGAGAATTCACTAGGTGGGAGCATTCACAGAAATTATGACCTATTGCTCCTGCACAGGCTGCATATAGTAGGAGAAGTGAAATACATTGTTCGCCACTGCTTACTAGCCAATCATGGTGTTAAAGTTGAAGACTTGCAGAGGGTTCTAAGTCATCCTCAGGTAAGCTGTACTTACCTCAGCTCCCTAGGCCACTTGCATAAAGATTAACCCATTAGTTGGTGATGTTTCAGGCTCTTGCTCAATGTGAAAATACGTTAACAAAGTTGGGATTGGTCAGAGAAGCAGTGGATGATACTGCTGGTGCAGCAAAGGTAGGCCTGAACTTGGAAGCTGGAGAGTTGACTTCCTTCTCTCATCTGTCTTAGAGTTCAACATGCCCATGTTGTAGCTAAGTTAATATGATGTTGCTTGAATATTGCATCCTTCTAGCATCTCAAAAAATGCTCCCATCCATCCATGGGACTGCTGTGAACCACTGTTAATAGCTCACCTTAAGGGGGCTCATTGGCCAACCCTTTTAATACTCAATTGAATTTTAGACCCTTGAATGGTCATTTGAAATTTTTACGAAGTAAGCCTTTGTGACAAACTGACTGCCATCCTCCTAGACAAGTGGGACCAAATCCTGGAAGGTTTTATGCTTATGTCTTTCTTCCACTCACATCCCTTATCTCTCATACCTCTCAATTTTTCCTTCTTGTCTTGTACTGTTCTTTTCTTTGTTCTCTCTCTCTCTCTCTCTCTCTCTCTCTCTCTCTCTCTCTCTCTCTCTCTGACTGACACAATGGGCTGGGCAAGCTTGATTTTCTCATCTATCAATACTCACGTTTTGGTTCCCAGTTTTCTAACTTGTCAAAATTGTAGTTTGAACCTTTAATTTTTAAGAAGTGCACTTTGGTTCTTGAACAAAGATTCCCAAAGTTGACATGAGCCTCCAAATATTTTCCTTTTGTTAAGATATTCCTAAATACCTTGAATGAAATTTAATTAATCTCTGGCTCATTTTCTTCAAATTGCAACCTATGTGCTATTTGACATTATATAGGGAGCACAATGTTGCAACCTGTTTGTTATGACTGATTTGAGTTCATTATGATCATGTAGCATGTTGCACTTCAAAAACTCGAAGACACGGGTGCTGTTGCTAGTTCTGCTGCTGCATCGATCTATGGATTGAATATATTAGCCAAAGATATTCAGGTTTGTATTTGCATGCTTTCTTGTGGTGTATGGTCAGAATATGGCATATACACTGCTTTACTCCCGGCATCCTTGTGATAGGACGATTCTGATAATGTCACACGATTTCTTATGCTGGCGAGGGAACCAATAATTCCAGGCACAGATAGGCCTTTCAAGGTTAGTCCCTTCCACACACAAAACTACCAGCTGTTTCAATTGCTAAGTTATCGTTCTGTTACCTCCTGAGAAACAGTTTTTTTTCTAATTAGTTTGTTTCTTGAGATCCAGACAAGTATAGTTTTTTCATTGGAGGAGGGCCCTGGAGTGCTTTTCAAGGCCCTTGCTGTTTTTGCTCTTCGGCAAATCAACCTCACTAAAGTAATTTTTCTTTTTCCCGTGTTTATCATCCTTACGAGGTTCAATTTCCAGTTATTGCTTTAGACTGTGTTATCCCATAATTCCTTGGTTCTTCCAACCAGATTGAGAGTCGTCCCTTGCGGAAGCAGCCCTTAAGAGCATCTGATGATAGCAACAGTGGGCTTCCAAAGTAAATTTACTGAAAGCTACATTTTATCCTAGAGTGCATATATATATATATATATATTAGTTGATAAGTATAGTCTGTTTCTTGATGATGTTTTCCATCTATAACAAACAGAATTTAAAACTTCTGGCCCGATTATAATTGCTCTGCAGATACTTTGACTATCTGTTTTATGTGGATTTTGAAGCATCAATGGCTGACGAGAATGCACAGAATGCCCTCAGGCATCTGAAGGTGTGCTTTCTTCTCAAACCTATTACAGAAGTATTTGCCTATAAATGACTTGAAATGGTCCTTCTCTGACAGGAGTTTGCTACATTCTTGCGAGTTCTGGGGAGTTATCCGGTGGACACAAGCATGATTTGAATGACCCTTTCTTCTGGTAAGATTGAAGTATTTGAATTATTGATTACTAAATAATTGATGGATTTCAAACATTTTTTTTCAGGCTATTATATGATGAAAAAAGGAGCTTACTCTTTTTTAAGTTAGAGATTTTCTTCAAATCTTCTAAATCTTGTTCAGCCCCCACATCTGAAACATTGATTCCATGCACGTGAAAAGATCCTTAATTCAAATTCGTCTTCAGTAAGATGGCAACAATTCCTCCTCTTCTGTTAATTTAAGAATTAGTTTGGGTTAATATCCTCATTATTTGACCCAAAGCCTTATAGATGTGCAAATTTGTTTATCTGAAATTCTTGTCAAAAATTCAACATCAATTACAGGCTGTCTCTTGTTCCTTATTCTCTCTCTTTCACTGCTGCATAATTGTAAGACTAACATCTAGAATGTGTTGCTTGGAGTTTTTTTTAGTGTAGTAGTTTATAACCTGTGTAAGATCCAAATTTCTTAAAATGCACCAGTGTTATGATGCTTTCTTAATCGTTTTGTTCTCATTCAAGCATTGGAGCTTTTACTTTATTACTCATCTCTCCATGCTGCTTCTGTTGATGCAGGGATGTGGAAGAAACACTACCGTGATAAGAACGGAAGCTTTGGCCATTTTCCCTGTTCTGGTTATGGCATGCAATGATATTATAGTCTCTGTCCAATATCCATTTCATTGAAATTTTTGTTGCATTTTCTATAAATTGTTCGTGTAATTATCAGGAACTAGTTTAGGCATTTTTTTATAGCAAAAATTTCTTTGGTCACCCAGATGTACTACACGATCTGCAAAAGGGCAACTCGTTAGCTGGGCTGAAAGTAATTGTTTTCAACTCGACATGTTCTATAGTCTTTTTTGAAATGAGAGCAATCCATATAGGTAGGAGATGGTTTTCACAGGCTTTGGTTGGGATTTGCAACAAATGATCCTCTTTTATTGTGAAGAAGATGATGGAGAACTCATATTTGAGGATCGCTGGAGTTACAGCTTCCACAAGCTATTCGGTTCCATCCAAGGGATTTGGTATTGAAAGTTTGTAATTGCTTGGTTTCATGGTTCTTTAGCTTCTGGATTAAAAGGCTAACTCGTCCTCAGGTTGGTTCTTTATGATTGGAGTCGTGACTCATGGGCCTGCCATAATTTTGCTGTGGCAAAAAATCACATCGTGGCATTGTACTTCGAACTTGTAGTCTATTGAATCCTCTATTCCATTTTGGATCATGCCAACTCTTCTGCTTAAAATTTTTGGATGTCGTTTGGTTGCCAAAATGAAAGATTGGAAATGAGAATACAAGTATTGAAATGACAATTAAAAAATCAAAAAAAATCAGAATGATATTTTTATTTTAGTACTGGGTTTAAAATAAAGATAATAATAAAAAAGAGAACAAAATTTAAAATTTTTGATATCTACATTTAAAAAATAAAAATAATTATTAATTTTAACAGTTATGATAGTATTAAAAATAATAAAAGTGATTATGATAGTGATGGTGATGGTAAAGGAGAAGGAAGAAGTGGCGGTAATAATAATAGATTAGTATAATAATAATAATAATAATATGCTTTGGAAAAATGATGTCATCAGCATAGGAGGTGGTAGAGGGAGAAAAACAATGATGATAATAATGGCATAAGAAAAGTGAAGTTGGTGCAGTGATGATAAAATCATAATAATAATAATTTTTTGTTTTTATTTCCATTACTAATGGGGTGGTGGTGAGAGTGACAATAGAAGTATTATTATTTTAAAAAATAAAAAAAATTATTTTTATCTCTTATTTTTATTACATCTTAAAAAAGAATGAAATTGTGTTTAATTTTCATTCGTATTTTAACATATCATTTTCATTTTAATCAAACACCAACAATATAGAAATAAAACTTTCATTCCATTTTTGTTATCAAATAATACTTCATTTTTTGTTATCAATCCATGCCTGTTATGTAAGTCAGTTTTGATTGATCTAATAACGTCAGGCGTTTAACTAATCTGATAACGTCATTTGATCAATCCTTGATTGATCAGATGTGAATATAGGATCTTCTATCCAAATTGTGGTTAAAAAATCACTATATATTCTACTATATGAATTTGGTCAAATAAACCTCAATTGCCATGGCTAAGTGTGAGAGTTGAGTTTATACTTAGATAGATGACCAATCCGAATATCATAATAGAGCCAACAAGCTCCTTGTAAATCCCAGAAATACAGTAAATGAGAAAATTTCAAATCCCAATTTGGGAAGAGATACAAAACTCTGCTGTGTGGAACAGAGTCTCGTTTGACAAGCCATATAGCCATAAAAATAAAAAAAATAATAATAAAAATTACAAGCGCCAAAATGGAACAAATTGCAAGCCACTCAGGCTAACTAAAAATTCTGTCAAGGCACCACCCCACTCTGAAATCTCTTTTCTATGAACAAATTTCACACCGAAAGCCGATTGCATGACCTACCTACAAGTTTTAATGATTAGTATTCTATACTTTTGAAAAGTCTGTCACTGCCATTGATGAAGACTTTGGTCAGTGGGGGAGCAAGGCACAAATGGTACAAATCCCCGGCCACCAAAAACAGGTCGCATGAAGCCATTATCAAATTTTCTCCAATAGTGGTGGACTGTGTGAGAAGGGGTGCTCAAGAGCATCCTAAAGCTGGTTGGACGGGGCACGTTGTGGCTGGCCTGGTTGTCCTCTGAATCCTGTCCATTGAGCAGTGGCACAGCAAAGGATTTAGGACTAGATGGTTCAGAAGACAACATACTGGCGGTGTGTTTCTGTGATGGAAGCAAGATCCTCACTAGTGGTTTAGTCATCAGTCCAAACACCTGTATGGATTCAACAGTCAATTACATCAGTCTTGTGTTCGACAAAGGAAACTAACCTTCGATTAGCTCAGTTTCCTGTTACCATATTGGAGATTATAAAGACTCATGTGGGAACCAAAAGTGCAAAATAAAAACTTTGTTGAGTCCTGTACTACAATATCCAGTTCAAGCCATTGACTGAAGTTGGATCTGATAATCCAATCTTCAATTCAGATTCTAGCTCATAGGGCTTAACTGATGGACCAAGTTGGGGGTGAAAACATCATATCTGCAACAATATGTTGGCAGGAATGGACCAACTTCGAAGGGAAAATCTGCACCTATTGTTTCTAGCTTAAAACATGGAAACTGTAAAAGTTTTGCGCCGAACTAAAGCGTGCCATTATTAATGCTCTTAAAGAAGACTACTTTGGGCACATTATTCCACTGTCAGATGATTTAGTGGCTGGCCAAGACCCATTTTAACACAGGCAGGTTCGTAAAACAGCAAGTTACTTCTACTGTTCTTTACAGAGAGGATGCATTATCTTACCACTGTGCTGAAAAGGACAACTGTAATTGTGCTGGTGATCATGATTGCATTGCCATGCAAATGAGTATGTCCTGACCTGGTGAACTGCAAGAATAGCAATAAAATTTATTCGTTCTTTTTTAGAATGAATAAAATCATCATTTAGATGAGCATAAATATGCAACATAAGAGGATATAAAGACCTTTAAAGGCCTTAACCATTGGTCTATTAAAATCCATTTCAAATCTCCTATGAGAAATTCTAATAATTGTGTCCAGTTGGATATTCTTCGAAGAAGTTTTTGTATGCTGTTCGGTGTATAGCAGGAACATTAACTGCTCACTGCACTGAACCAATGGTAGAGATGAACAAACGAAACCAGTGCCCAGGCTCATAGCTGAAAGATGTTTAACTTATTTTGTGTTTAACAAGAAGGAAAGCCTCTATCATCGCAGAACAGATTGAAAAAACAAATCAAATGGAAAAAGAATGCCTTCCAATCTTTTTTACCTGATTATAAGCAAGAGCCATAGAAACAGCACCACGCATAAGACCAGCCCACCATATTGTTACCTTCCAAACAAAAATTCAGGGTGATATCAGACATCAAGTGATTCACAAATGTTAAATCCCAGAAACCAGAATAGCTTGAGAGCATACTTGTTGCTTTATATTTATTTTCTCATTCGGAGACTTCTTAGTCAAGTTGGATAAAAAGGATAAGGGGAAAACAAAGGCTGCTCTTCCAACCAGAACCAATCCCAGGAGTATCGAACTCACTCGGACTGATGTTCCAGGGCTGAAAATCAACGAGTTAACCACTACATTCAGCAAATGGTGAAGATAATTTTGTTTCAGCTTGTATTTTATGATCTTGAAATGTATATATTTGTGTGGTAACTAATCTCCCATTTTATGTTTAATCTCACCTATCGCTTACAACCTTCCATTTCTCAATGTCCAAGGCATCCATGCCAACATAGAGGAAGATGAAGATCTCGGCAACAAATGACCAAGTAGCAAAAGCATGCCTGAAATGGTCAAGGAGAACAGCCATATATGTAATGTGATCACTAGAGCAGAATTCGAGGTAAAAAATAGAATGCAAGAGATTTTGATAGAATTGTCCAAACACATTTCAGGAGATGTAACTCAACATACTTGGTCGTAATCCTTGAGCTTTCGGTTACATTGTGCCATGTGTAATGAGACATAACAATCCCACAAAAGAATACTGTGAGAATCGCGCTTAAATAGAATAGCTGCAAGAAAAACCAAAATTTAAAAAACGATGGTTAAATTGCCCTTCACCACCGAAATTCAATCTACTATTAGAAATCATAAGCAAACGAGGCCCTTGGAGAGGTACCCTGTGATTGAGAGAATTCTTACTTCGGCCAACATATATGAAAGGTAAGCCATGAGCATCATAAGAGCAACCTCACGATCGGTAGAATGCCTGGATTTTGTGGCAAAAAAATATTTTTTAGAGCACTAACTAGCAAATACAAAATAATTCCCAGCATGTTACTCTAGCAAATATTTCTTTTGTCACCTTAGCTGCCATGGAATTATGTAAACATGAAACAAACTTGAGGACATTATGAGCTTTAAAAGACATTAAAAAGAAGTAAACTCCAATTCTGACACCAATCTCAAGATAAACTGAGATTTCATCCACGTGCAATTGATCTGCTGTGGTTGTTAATATTTCCTATCCTAAAGCTCTGCCTATCATTGAAACTAATCATGAATTTATGCGTGACAATTATTTACGAACCTGCCGAAGTAGAGCTTTTTGATAATGTACGCACTAAGTAGTCCAGTCTGCAGGAGCCAAAAAAAGTGTGCAACGTCACAAAACAGAATATAACAAGGAATCACATGCTAATCACACGCACACCCACACGCACATATACATTGAGAGGGAGAGAATTACTAGAACTCCCAATATGGTGCTTGAGATAAACAAATACAGAAAGTTTCCGAGAAATTCAAGTCCAATGCTTGAGTTGATGTGAGATAGGTCAAAGCTCTGAATTGCATGGAAAAGCACCACTGATGTTGCATCATTTACTACGCCTTCCCCAAAAACCAGACTGTATAGTAAAGGCGTCTCGTCCTGGTTAAGAACCTGCAACAACACAAAAATCCCTTTTTCTGAGTGAGTGGTTGCTTCAAAGAAATGTAATCAGACCATATCTTCACCAGGAGTCTCATACCTGCAAGGTACAAACAGAATCTGTGGCTGAAAATATTGCTCCAATTGCTGCAATCATGGCACAAGATAAGCAAACATGAAGCAAACTATCTGATGGGAATCAGAATCATGACAACTACGAATGTAAAGTAAGAATGAGTGATGTCGAATATACCAAGATAGTCTCCAATTCTGAGAGAACTGGTATTCGTTTTCTTGAAAAAGTGCATAGCACCTATGTAAAGAACAACAAATTAATCACGAATAGAGTACAACAAATTATTCAGCACTAACAAGACAAAAATGGTCATGAACTTGCTGTTTTAGTGTACCTATCGAAATGATGGCAGTAGATATCAGAGTCCCGACTGCGCCAAACAGCATGATAGTCATGAAGTTGCGGAAAAACTGCTTCTTCTTTACCTGGAACCTGGTTGGGAAGACAGAATGATAAATGATACGTCCCAGCAACAAAAATTTCATGAAAACTGAGCTATTCTAAGGCTCATTTGTTTCAAATGTATGAAAAAAAATATATATACATTTCTGGATATATATATATATATATATATATATGGAGCTCTTGAATTTTTACTTTTATTTTTTGAATTTTATTATTTTCAAGATAAAAGCAAGCAGTACCCAAACAATTTACTGTTTTGCAATTAATTTCACTCAGAAAAAAATTGTTGGAGCATTTTCACTCCAAGTTCGGCTTCAATTAAATGCAAACATTCAATTACTCCAAAATGGAGAAGTCAATAAGCAACAACTGGTTTGGAATCAAGACCAACAATACCTGAAAGAGAACAACATATCAATTTTTTATTAATCCCAAAAACTTCATGCACATCAATAACATCACTAACTAATTGCTAAACTTGATCGAATCACAAAACTTAATAAAAGCTTGTTCGTTTTTATTTCTGAAAAAATGTAATAGTTGTTGTTGGTTTTTTTTTCCAACAAAAAAAAATTCCAAAACCGAAAATGAAACCAGAGACAACCTATTAAGAAAAACACAGACACAAAAAAAAATAATAATAATAAATAAATCCTAATCAACCTCTAGCCACTCAACACTTAAGCAAATATCATTAAAAAAGAAGAAAAAACTCACCCAGCATTAAAAATAATCGGCGGAAGCAGATAAATAAAGAATAAATCTTCACTGAAAACTAAAAGATGCGAGCTCTTTCCTCCTGTTGTTAGCAAAATCACAACTCCAGTACACAAACCCTGCGTGCATTTACTCACCAATAAAACCTCTATAAACACAAAAATCATAAACTGTAAAATAAACGCAATCAACTGACGATATGTATATAGTACTGACTAAAGCAAGTGCAGTAATGGACTCGTTCATCCACCGATTCTCCTCTAGTAAATGACCGATCACTATACACGCACAAAGTAGTACCACGAAGAGGTTTATTGACACCACTGAGCTATGATCAGACGATAAATTTGCTCCCATTTTCCACAAAATATCTGCCATTCTATATTTAGTGAAAAAAAACAAATTAAAACAAAGAAAGAAATGAATATTTCTTATTTTTTATCAAGTCTTGCTGTTTCAAAATATCAGAAGCAAGAAAATATTAATGCTACAATTTTGGATCTTGAAGAAGCTAGAACTTAACGAAAGTTGAGTGATTTTTGGTAACTAAAGCAGAGTAAAGAGAGTTTGGAAAGAGACAGTGAGGAGCCGGGAAAGGGATGGTATATATAGAGTTTTCAAATAAAGTGGTTCAAATGTTTAAATCAGGAAGGCCGTTGATTAAGAGCGGTCGAAGGGAGTCGACGGTTGTGATTAAATGAGGATTTTAAATCTGGAGTGTGGGGATGTATAGTTTATGGATTTTTGGAAGGGAGTGGAGGCAACAGAAGAACGTAAAGTGAAGAGGAAAGTTCATATGAAATGATCGTGTCGTCTACAGTATCTGTCCACCTATGGAAGCCAAGAGATAAAATAAAAAATATAAAATATTTGAAGGCTTGTTTTTTTGCGCTGATCCGAACTAGACTGGACGGGATATGATTAATGGAACAAAAATTATATCTATTCATGACAAATGCCCCAAAAATTGAAGTTATTGTAAATATTACTTATCTCGGTCATTAATTGGAATTATATATATTTACATTTTTATTTGTCATCCTAATTACCATTTGAAAGATCCTAAATTTCTTCTTCTACATATTTATAGCGGAGTCATTTCACATTAAAAAATAGTATGATGTCTACTTATACATTTATTTTTTTATTTTTATTTTTTTTTTGGAGAAAAATCGTTCAAGCATTTTGTAAAGAAAAGAAGGTACCTATTTACACCAGCATTTGTATATACCGTAACACGATAGTATCACAAAACGTGTACATTAAGCGTCTGAAAAAGAGTGAACTGGAAGAAAGAATTTGGCGTGTATTTGTGCATGCCATAGTCTCAATTTCAATTTGAACTTGAATTTGAATTTGGATTGTTAGCTTCCCAGTATTAATGTCTTCCTTTTTTAAAGAATCTCGTCAATTAAAATTAATTAAATGAAAAGAAAAAATAATCTGTTAAAATTTAAACTCGTAAGCTTTTTATTATAAGAGATTATTACTATTAGACTACAAACTCTTTGATATTACTCAACTCGTAATCACTTGTTCAGTTTCATTGTTGCCAAATTTACGTTCACCAGCAACTTGCAAAAGTGGTATTGTTGCTAATTAAGAGTAAAGCATGCATGCAAGATTTATAAACTACAAGAAAGATTTGTTGGTGCGCAAACTGTAGACAAAGAAGGAACCGAGCCAACTTTTGGACCATGTTAAAAAAGCAAGCACTGAGTTGGTTTGCCACTCTTGATGGCTAATTAATGGCAACACCGTACGGACTAACTAACATGTATATCATAACCACCATAGGGCACGCAGCAGAGTGCACACGCACAGATGCTGGGCATTAAGGAAATCAAATGGTACGTGTGCTTCTTGCCTGCCGGTGTAAGTTAGCTTTTTTGGCCTTTTGAGTAATAAAATGAGCACTCTTTGTGCACTCCCTGGGTAGCAAGCTATGATTACTGAAATTTTGCTCTCTATGCAAGCTCATATGAATGATTCTCCTGACCAAATATCATAGCTTTCTCGTGCCACATGGCTACATATCATTATTGATCCGTGGTTTTGTATATCAATACTGATTAAATTTATTTTCTAAATAATTTTAAGAATACATCTTTATTGTCTTGATGAACTTAGAATAATAAATTCTTTTAAATGCTAATTTTTAATTAAATTTAGAAAAGTTAAAGAGTAGACAAATCTGGTTAAGTACGAGTGAAATATAAATTAATTCCTCTAGCTTCAAAAAAGGAAATAATTAGTTGTTTTTGTTAAAAAAATTAATTATGTGATCTGTTTATTCTTGCAACTATTATGAAAGAAATAGTAAAAATAGTATAATTGAAGAGAAAAATGATAGAAAAACGAATTCACTACAAAATAAAGTGAATATAAGAGATAACAATTCCAAATAATCTCTCAATCTATATAAAATACATGTACACCAACTAATGAACAATCAAGCTTATTTATAGGCTTCAAACGTGATATGAGAATTGGAAGGGACAATGAATAATTAAAAGTACATAAATTGTTGAATCAATTGTATTATCCTTTTAATTTTTCATATTGAATGATGAATTGAATCACATTAAAAATTGTGTTACTGGGGATATGAAAAATATATGAATATTCAAATAGACATTCATTATTTCATAACACTCCTCCTTGAATGTCCATTGTACAAGGAGTATGTCTCGTTAAAATCTTATTAGGAAAAAAACCCAATGGGAAAAAATCTCGGTGAATGAAAAAAATACAATATTCCTCGCATACATTAATCTCAATGGTAAGCTCTCCTTGTTGAAAATATCATTTGAGATCTCTAAGATGATGCATTTCAATCTTGTGAATCGTCTTCTTAAAAGTTGAGATAGGTAATGTCTTAGTGAACAAATTTATCGAATTGTCACTTGATCGAATTCCTCCTTTAATTAAATTATGCAAGCGAGCATTATCTTCATATGGTATTGTTATAACTTTTTTTACTAGTATATAAACCATATGTCTCTCGAACATGATGGATCATTGATCTAAGTCAAACACATTTTCAACTTGCCTCATGAATTAGTATTTACGTATGGTTTGAATATTTAGCAACTATAGCTTGCTTTATAGAATATCATGATATGGTATACCACCAAGTGTAAATACATAATACATTTGTGATCGAGTTTTATATAGATCAAATAAATAATCCGCATCCGCATAACAATTAAACCTCGCTTTTAATTTATTTGAATAAATAAATACCATATCAATTTTTTTCTCAAAGATAATATAGAAAATGTTTAATTCTATTCCAATATCTTCATATTAAAGCAGTAACTATGACTTGCTAATAAATTTATAGAAAAGACTATATCAAGTCAAGTATTATTAGTAAGATATATCAATACACAAGTGGTACTAAGATATGTTACTTCGGGACCAACTAATTCTTCATTATCTCGCTCGAGGTCGAAAAGGGTCTTTTTATACTATTGGGCTAGTCAATGAATGATCTTTATATAGAAAAATTGTAAAACTTTTTCTATATAAATTGACCAATAAATAAAAATATCATTCTTTATGTGCTCAAACTGTGCAGTCGAGATAAAATTTTGTTTTTCCAAGGTATTTCATATCAAATTCTCTTTTTAAATAACTTATGACACTTTGAATCTCTACAAGAGTTCCAATAATATTTAAATCATCAACATATACAATAATTATCACAAACCCTTTTTGATTTTTTTTTATAAAAATACATGAACAAATATGGTTATTTTCATAATCTTCTTTCAATAAATATTTATTGAAGCAATTATACCACGTGCATATATGTTAGTAATAAAGAGTAGATATTGAAAAATAAAAAACATAAATATAAAATATAGCATAAATTGAATTTCTAAAAACTAAAATAATAAAACAAATACTAAAATAATTTTGATAGAGATCCCTATAATTTAATTGAATTCATTTTTTGAGAATATGTATTACATACTTCGGGCATCTTAAGTCCTTATAGGACTTTCATATAGATATTATTTAAGTAAACAAATAAACTATGATCACATTCATTAAATGCATGCATATGAATTTTTTTCATATATTTTGCTAAGCTAATGGGATAATAAAATATAATTACATCCATTACAAGAAAATATGTCTCCTCGTATTCAATATCAATTCTTTGATAAAACTCCCGTTTAAAAGTCTTTCTTTGTATCTTACAATCTCATCTTTCTTATTTCATTTTCATATAAATACACATTTTTATCCCACTAGCTTAACATCTTCGGATGTTTTGAGTATGAGTTCAAAAACTACTCATTTATAAGAGAACATAATCCTGTCCGGATTACTCTTTTTATTTAGGTCAATCATCTTTATATCAACATTTGTCAATAAATTTAGGCTTATTATCCTTATTTTCATTCAAAATATCAATTGTAAGATTATATGCAAAAATCTTATCAATAAATATTTCTTTTCGATCCTATTTTCTTCTTGTATTGACATAATTTATCAAAATCTTTTTATTTTTCTCAAGCATTTGGACTTTTTCTAAAAGCCTATTGTCGAAATATCTTGGACCATTTTATAAATATTTGCACTTTTAAATTTTCATCTTACCATTTTCTTTTAGAGATTTTTGCTTTTAGAACCGATCGATCTCCATGCTTTAAGTGTGGTTTAGATTCATTTGTTATAACATTAATAAATTATCCTTCTAGGGCATCAATTCTAATAAGAGTATTTTCAGCGAAAACATGCATCTTAGTTACTCACTTAGGATCGGAGAATACATCCGGCAATTGGTTTACAATATCTTATAAATGAATTATCTTTGAACTTTTAGTTCATATTATTTTATACAAAGATCAAGATAATATAAGATATAGTACTCCATGTAATTTTTTTCCAACATTTCCAACTCGTATTTTGCTTGTTCTTTTCCTCTAATATTGAAAAAAGCTGTTTCATCAAAATGACAAGTCGATAAATCGAGCCGTAAAAATATCTCTTATTCACGGTTCAAGATATTGAATTATCGAAGAGGATTCAAATCCAACATATATTTTCAATCTTCTTTAAGTGCCTATTTTAGTTCATTATGGAGAAGCACTACGAATATATGCTCGTAATGTCAAAAATTTTAAATAAGAAATATTTGCCTTATGACCATTAACCAATTGAAGTGGAGAGAATTTTTGATAATTTATGAATCCGATGCAAATAAGTATTGTTGTATGTAAGATTGTATGTCCCTAAACAAAAACGAAAAGTTTTATTTTTAAATAATGGTTTAGCTATCAATTAGAGCCTTTTAATAAATAATTTTGCTAAACCTTTTTTTAGTATGAACATGAGAAACA